GAAGTTATGAGATTCTGTCCGCAAAAATAGTACTCACGATAGCGTTCTTACACAAACACTCAAAATTATCCCCACATAAATCAAGTAAAACAATTGTTGACAAGCGAGGGCCTTGAAACTATCAACAAGCTTCGTTCTTGTAAACGGCAGATTTCGCACTTTATTCCGTGGAAAGGAATTTTATTACTTCCTTAGGATCGTTTAGCAGATATAGAAGATAATTCTAAATCACCGCTTTAAGGTGCATGTGATCTTTCTTATGAGCTCTTATACTTTGATGATTGCACTATGCACAATACAATTTTTTAAATGACAAGTGTTGATGGAAATAGGATGCTACGCATACGTGCCGAGAATGGCGTAAAATGCGAAGAAATGATTACCAGTGATATTCCACAGAAAACTCCATCCAACTTCCATGACGTCATCACAAACATTTGTCGTCAGTTTTCGTCGAATCTGATCGAGTATCATCTGTACAAAGAAATTGATCATGCCTATTATAATAACACTACAAATAAGTACTAAAAAATATACACATACAGAAAAGAAAAATGAAAAAACGAGTGTTAATAAGTAATAACCTCGATAGCTCCGAAACTCCCCACTTGGACCTTTTGATCACCTTCAACATGGCATGCCATCGAATTGAGTAAGAAAACAACAATACGTTGAGTTAGATTGTCAGCATTATGATGCTGCAAGACAGTGACTAGCAAGATAGCTAGTCGGCTGAAACATGGATCACCTCAAATTTGCATGAGTTCAGGCATGAAAGAGCCTAAGTGCAACTGCTGAGTTAATATTTAGCCACCAACCTATAGTCGAACAAGATTTCTTGGGGAATCTCAAATTGACATAAAGACAAACAGCAGTTTCTAACCATAACCTGTTCTTCCATATGTGTCTCCATGCCTCAAACGTAAGCGATTACGATCTCGATCACTCATCAAGATTAACAAAATTTACCGCTTAAAAGCGCGCTGACGACTCTTTTCTTGGTATCACGGTTCATGGCCACTTTTCTGATTATGTAAAAAAGGCTAGCAGACCCTGCGATTTGAAGAGTACTGTCTTCAAGGTGATTCTGCATAGCGTTTAAGACGAGATGAAGAGCTTCTGTGTGACGCACCTAAACTTCAATTCATGTAACTTTTGCACTGAAGAGGGAATCTGTGGAATTCGGAAAAAAA